GGACCCAGCCGAGAGGACGCCCACGCCGGCCCACGCCACGGCGCCCCCACCGCCCGTTCCATCCGCCCGCGCGTCCGCGGCCTCCGGTCATGCAATTTAAAACTAGTCCCTGATTGTGTCCCTCTTTTTCTTTTTCGTTTGGTCAGACGGTAGCCCAGTCCAGGTTGGAGGCCACGAAATAAATATTTGTTGGTGTTTGGGTATGAAGCGATAGATTTTAACAAGAAATGCCCTTTGGTCTTGGTCTGAACACTCTGCGACGAAGCCAACGTGGGCTGATTGCTCTACGACTTTTGGGGCGCCCGTTGTGAGGCGCCACGAGCACCCCGCAGCGCCGACAGGAGTTACTCTTACTGCCGAAGCAGGTCCATATGACCCCTACTTCCAGCTCGACCACCACAGTTCGCTGTCGGCCTGGCCCAGGAGCGGTATAAGGTCCGGCTGACAGGGGGCAGTGCACCGTAGGCAGCTTACTCACAGAGGATTTCTGACACAAATTGCCTACCTTTCAGGCGGCTCTCTAGAGACGATGACGAGGCGTGCGCCCCCCCCCCCTCTCTATTATTGCGCCTGGCCTGTCCACCTCATCTGCAGGAAAACTTTCCAATTTGAGTGAATTGTTTTTTCATGCTCTTATGTCGGGTAGGTTACGTCTTTTTGAACGTCGGATAGTATGCCTCTAACACGTTATACGCATGCAGCTGTTGCTGTCGTTGAATTTCAAGATCCCATAAATTGGTAAAAATGTACTCTACAGTTCTCGTGCCGTCTCACCTACGCCGAGGACTGGTGACCTCGGCGGCCTGGACCATTTCGCGGCCCGGCCCTGGCCCCGGCCCCGCCCACGAGCCCCGCAGAGCCGTGGACTTCGCCAGTTCACCGCCGCCCTACCACCCTACCTCCCTACGTTCTCCACCGCACTCCCCTCCCCACTCCCAGCAACCCTTGCTACCCCCCACGGGGCCCACGGGACGGAACGGGGCGCGCCTGCCTCATGCATATTCGAGAGGGGCACGCGGCGGCAGGCAGGCAGCCAGGCAGCCAGTCAGGCACAGGACTCAGGTGTGCCTAGGGTGTGCCTCGGGTGTGCCTCCGCCCTCCGGTCCTCGAAGAAACTGGGCTGCATTTTATTCTTTAGAACTAAACGGAGAAAATGTATCAAACAAACGTCCAAGTAGATACTCTTGTCACACCATATATTTTGCATTTACGTAGTTTTGCTTGTTATTTGATGGCAGTCTTTTCTCTTGCGGCGTAGGTGATCGAAATCGTTACCGTGTGCCAGGCAAGTTCTCGTAGCGCCTGATGCATAGGCAAAATCTTGTCTTCAGTGCATGCGTGTATTGCGGGGTGGCCTACCCCGAGCCTCACAGGCGCCGAGCTTCCGTCGCTTCCGTCGTCATTTACCAATAATAATGAATCCTGTAAAACGGACTCGTATACGTTGTGGACGATCCCTAAGGTGGTCCTTCGCACAGCGTTCGACGCGGAGGCCTTGGAGCGCCGCCGAGATGATCTGCCTGCAGCATCGCCGCATGTCTCGGCACTCCGCACTCCGCATTAGGCCCGAGCCAGATGCGATTCGCGCCGCAGCCGAGCCGAGCCAAATCGAGCCGAGCCGGAGCTCCGCTGCTGGGCTGCAGTAACGGCCTTGCAGTCAGTGCGTCGCATCACGAGGTGCCTCCTCCTCCCGCCCCTCCCCCTCCCCCGCGCCGCACCGCACCGCGCCCTCTCGACGCGCCACTTGTCCGCGACGTGCCGGCGCGACCTGATGGTCGACGCGGCGTGGCGTGGCGCGGCGCGGGGAGGTGTGGCGTGGCGTGGTGTGGTGCGGTGCAGCGTGGCATGGCGTGGGGCGTGGGCGCACAACCAGGCGGCGGCGTCTCGTCTCGCACCGCGCGGTGGCGCGGCCGCGGCGCGGGTCCGAGCGGCAGGCGGAGAGGCGGCGACAGGATTTACGAGACGGCGGCGGCGGCGAAGAAGAAGAAGAGGGGGACGACGGGGAGGGGAAGGGGAGGGAAAGTGGAGATGGGAGGGAGAGCTCTTGCTTATTGCTGGTCGGAGAGGGGAGAGGGAGGGACGAACTGAGCGAGCGTGCCTCCTGAAGCGTCTAATGAAGCAAAACCACGAACGCGGTGAGCGCGCGCACGCGCGTGTGTACGTGTGTGTGTGTGTGTGTGTGTGTGTGTGTGAGTGTGCGCGCGTCGTCGTGCGCCGCGCACGGTGTGTTTGTGAGAGGGGCTGACTGTCCGCGGCAGAGCAGGGACAGGGACAAACTTGAGGAGCTCTCGCTCGAGTGCGCGGCGGGGCCGAGGCGGCAGCGCTGGGTTGCGTCACCGCCGCGCCGGTCCTGGCCTGGCGCGCGGCGTGTGCGTTGTCGCGTGAGGCGCGCGGGGGTGGGGGAGGGG